CCTTTGTCCATATTAGGGATTTCCTGGAGCGTCATGAGTTCTTTTACTTCTGTGATGCATATGTGGAGTTTCTATGTGAGGGCACCCTCCGGCTTCCAGTATGAATGAAACAGATGTTACATGTGTTTATAGCGCTCAATAATAGCCAATCCAACTTATTTTGGGTAAAAATAGTAAAAAAATAATAGTTCTTTCAAAAGAAAGTAGACATATAATAATCCATGTCTTTCTCCAGTGTACAGAAGTGTACAGGAGTGTTTTTGTTGTTAATTTGTTTTTTAAAAAAATCACATTTTAAATCGCAAAAAACACTCTGATGTGCTAAGTGAAACAAACCGAAAACTGTGGTTGAAAAACCAAGGTATGTATTGAACCGTGGGCTAACTGTATTATTGCATACCTAATATACATATATATTATTACAAATCTTATATTATGGTGGATTAGAAAACAGAAGATCGCATGTTTGAAGCTAAATCGTGAAACTAAAAAGTAATATCTGGCAGATGTACGGTTTAAGATATTGTTTTAAGTATTTTAGGTTCATTTGAACGTTTAATTGTTCCCTAAATTATTTTGTGTGTGTATATATATATATACAGTTGTGCTCATAAGTTTACATACCCCTTGAAGAATATGCAAAAATGTTAATAATTTTCACAAAATAAAAGGGATCATGAAAATTGAACTCTTTCCAAAAGTGTCTGTATGATTTTGAGATCCATCTTTTCAAACTGAGGACAATTGAGGGACTCATACATAATTACAAAAGGTCAAAACATTTACTCATGCACAAGAAGGCAACACGATGCATTAAGAGCTGGAGGGTGTAAACTTTTTGAATTGGATGATCAGAGTAAATTGTCCTTATTTTGTCTTCTGGGAAACATGTATGTATTTATGTAGCTTCTGAAGTTCAGTGCTAAATTAAAAAAATATGATCTTTAATCAAAATAAGAAAAATTTACACATCATCATCATCCTGTTCAAAATAAGTCCCTCAATTGTCCTCAGTTTAAAAAGATGGATCTCAAAATCATACAGTCACTGTTGGAAAGGGTTCAGATATGCAGAAGATGCTGGAGAACCAAAGAATCTGCAGGAGCTGGAGGATTTTTCTGAAGAACAACAGGCAGTTGAACTGTTCAGGACAAACAAGGGACTCAATGAACAACTATCACAAAACATAAAAACAGTCATGGATCATCCAGGAAATGACACTATTGACGGTATTAAGATATGAGGGTTTGTAAACTTTTGAACGGGGTCATTTTTACAAATTCAGTTATTATTTTGTCTTGTGGAGTATAAATATCTGAATACTTTCCGTACCCACTGTATATATATATATATATTTATAGTAAGAATGAATTCACTTGATAAAAACATTTATAATGTTACAAAAGATTTGTATTTCAAGTAAATGCTGTTCTATTCATCAAAGAAAAAATGTATGAAAAAAAATCATCACAAAAATATTAAGCAGCATAACTGTTTTCAACATTGATAATAAAAAGAAATGTTTTTTGAGCACCAAATCAGACATTCTGAATGGTCTTGTAATACTGAAGACTGGAGTAATGACTGCTGAAAATTCAGCTTTGCCATCACACACACACAAAAAGCCATTTTAAAATATTTCAAAATAGAAAAGTTATTTTAAAATGTAATAATATTTCACAATATTACTGTTTTTACTGTATTTTTTCATCAAATAAATGCAGCCTTGGTGAGCATAACTAGCAGTGTCCCTACCACTTTTTAAATACAAAGTGATGCCCATGATTCTATGCCCACTGTTGGTTTGCAACAATTGCATGTTTAAAGCAGTAACAGAGCATAATATTTGGGGGTTCTTTTGGACCTCTGAACCTTCTTGAAAATATTTACATCACTACTAGCTAGTATTTACAGCGGCTGACTCCTCCAGCAGTTGAAGGAAGGCATGTGTTAATTTAAGCATTAAAGATGAGTCCTCTGAAAGTGCATGTTGTGTAACCACACTTTCAAATATGCAGAGCAAGAATAAATGAAGGGGAGACGGGTCGGGCACACATTGCAGCGAACATGGAGGGCATGTCAATGATGGTGGTGGATGGCAACCATCCAGAGGATGGAGAATTTTGAAATCCCCCATTACACACTCTTCTCCACCCCCGAAGTGCGATCTGCTAACTCAAACCACATGCATATGGCCAAACCCACATTTTTCACTACACACGCACAGTGTGTGTGTGTGTGTTTGTTGGAGGGTGGGGGCCTGTAAGGGAATGGGTGTGTTGTGGAAAAGAGCCCAGGGAATATTAGCTCAGAGTTAAAAAAGTTCAGGCTATTCAGAACCAAACCTGCACCAAGTACAAGACACATAGTCCGGTCCGTCCATTCTGATGCTATAATAGCTATTGGACGACACGTTGGTCTATATTTGGTGTTTTTTTTTGAAGGGTCACAGGGTTTGCTGTAACATCCTGTATCTTCCAAAAAACCAGTATGTCATCGCCCTGTGCTTTGATCCAGATGATCTTTATGAGGCTCTGACAGGAGCTCAAGCCCAAAGAAATATAGAGCACACTCTCATCTACTCCAAAAACAGAGAGATAGACAGAGGAAATCTGCCTGGAAACTTCCAATGTAGAGAGAGAGGACTGTTTCCTGTCAAACGAGGGGTCTGGTTGCTTTTAACTAGGTCGTTTCCACCTGCCATTCAGGATTTGCCACCACAGCAGAGGCTGTTGAACTTCAAATTCCATGGTGAATAAAACCCTGAACACTGTTTCTTAAGGGGAGGGACATTGAATTGGAATGACTAAGAGTTTATGTAAGACGTTGTGGTTAAATATTTGTAAAATGACAAAAACATACATCATCTTTGTAAGGAAATACAGTAGTGAAGTCACTGCTTACTTTTCCCCCCAAGAGATACTTTTTCCTAGTCTCTCTAAAGCCAAAATCTGTAGGCTGGATGTTTGCCTTTTAGTTGATAACCCATTTTTTAAACTGAAAATGACAGCCGGATCTGTGTACCACCCCACTCCCAATTTGAGGGTGTTTTTAGTATGTACCCAAAGTAGGGTGAATGACAAAACATGTCTTTTTCTATATATTAACTGTTTCCAGCAATGCCAGGGTTTGATTTTCAGTGACACATGGACTGTGATATTTTTTTAAGAGAAAAATGAATACTTTTATTCAGCAAGGATGCATTCAATTGATTGAAAGTGACAGTGTAAAGCCATGTTTTATAATGTTACAAAAGATTTCTGTTTCAGATAAATGCTGTTGAATAGAAAAATTTAAAGGGATAGTTCACCCAAAAATGAAAATTAGCCCATGATTTACTCACCCTCAGGGCATCCTAGCATCTGACATTGCTCTTTCAGACGAATCTAATCGAAGTTATATTAAAAATTGTCCTGGCTCTTCCAAGCTGTATAATGGCAGTGAATGGTGCCCCTGTTATTGAAGCTGAAAAAAAGTGCATCCATCCATCATAAAACTACTCCACACAGCTCTGGGGTGTTAATAAAGGCCTTCTGAAGCGAAACTATGCATTAGTGTAAGAAAGGTATCGATTTTTAAAAATATATAAACTGTAATCTCCAGCTTACGGTCACTCAAGCAGACGCGTTCACGACAAGGCGCTCGAGCGCATGACACAGACGTAGCGGAAGGCCCAACCTAAGCTCCGGGGAGAAGACTGTAGTCTCGCGAGAACCAAGTTTTGTTTACAGCACAGGGAAACCACTTGAACTACATCTGTAGTTTGTGCCAAAGCCGCTGCAGTCTCCTTCTCGCGGAGTTCCTGGTTGGTGTACTCTGGTTCAAACAAATATGGCTGGGCAAAAAACTAATTCTCTTCTTGCCTTATATCGAAATCCTCTGACATTTTTGCTTTCTCCTCTGTGCTTCCGTGTTTGTCACTCTCTCCCCGGTGCTTACGTTGCGCCTTCCGCTACGCCTGTGTCATACTCTCGAACGCCTTGTCATGAATGCGCCTGCTTGAGCAACCGGAAGCTGGAGATTACAGTTTATACATTTTTAAAAATCAATATTTTTCTTACACTAACGCATCGTTTCGCTTCAGAAGGCCTTTATTAACACCCCGGAGCCGTGTGGAGTACTTTTATGATGGATGCACTTTTTTCGGCATCAAAAACAGGGGCATCATTCACTGCCATTATACAGCTTGGAAGAGCCAGGACAATTTTAAATATAAATGCGATTGGATTCGTCTGAAAGAGGAATGTCAGATACGCCTAGGATGCCCTGAGGGTGAATAAATCATGGGCTAATTTTCATTTTTGGGTGAACTATCCCTTTAAGCATCCTAACTTTTTTCAACATTAATAATAATAAGAAATGTTTCTTGAGCACCAAATCAGCATATTAGAAAGATTTCTGTGATCATGTGACACTGGAGACTGGAGAAATGGCAGCTGAAAATGTTTAAAATTGAAATAATATTTCACAATATTACTGTTTTTACTGTATTTTGATCAAATAAATGCAATCTTGGTGAGCATAAGTTTCAAAAACTTCGTTGTACATAAAATAGCCTTATCTGAGGCAGTTATCATGGGTTTTCTTGTTCTCCTTAGTCTCTGTCAACAGAAACATGTTTCTGTTAACAAAGACTACTATTTTGAGTCCTGAACGCTCCAAACTGTATGGTTACATATTGCTAAGCATCTCCCATTTTACTTGTCATATTAAACTAAACCATATGTGAAAGCTCAGGGCATCAAAATTTTATTTTATGAAGTCAATTTTTTGCAAACTTGTTTTTATGTGGTCTATAAAAGCGGGGGCTGCACACTTTAAGACAAGGTATTTGAAGTATGCCTGGTTTGAGGTTTACAGGAAAACACGTTTCTGTGGCATGAAAGCTCTTGAATTCCTGCGTAGCAGCTTTGTTATTTTCAAAAATGAAACAGCAGAGGCCATTAACTTCTATAAATACTCAATTTAAATGTCATTTTGTTGTTTGCTTTGCTTTGCAGATGAGACACAGTCAGCGCCACAGTTAAATGGATCTGCGGTGACCCCAGGGCCCGTGGCCATTTCTGCTCCCCCTACCCCAGAATCCCCCGGTCCTTCTGCCTGTCCTCTTCTGCCCACCCCCACTACCCCTCAACCACCTCCGGCCACCTCCTCATCTCCTGGCTGTGGCTCTTCTAACCCAGAGCAGACTGGCACCGGGTCCCCTGGGGCACCATCAGTCACTCCCAGCAACCCTGAGACCGAAGAGGACAAAGCCAAGAAGCTGCTTTACTGCTCACTGTGCAAAGTGGCCGTCAATTCGCTCTCCCAGCTGGAGGCCCACAATAAAGGTGAACATTCATTTAGCGACAGCTCGTATAAACTCAATAACTTACTGTGCTGACTGATTACACAAAACATCCGTCACTGGAATAAAGAGTCTCCAATGAGTGCTTAGAGGTGGATAGATTATACATAATAACAAATGCTCCCTGAGTATTTTCTTGTTTGAGGGACTCACTAGTCTGTACCTGTGACTTTGTACTGCTATTATTTTAAAACTCTTAAAAGCCATTTTAAGACTCCACAACACAACATCATGTGTAGCAATAATATGCTGATGCAATCACTTTTCATTACAGAAAAACAGAAAAAGCAAATGCAAACATTTGCCAATGGCAGGTGCATTTAGGAAATTAACTAACCATAAATATTTTTTGCCAGCTATGATGACACTGTTATCAATTATAAAAAAAAAATTAAAAAAAATCATAACATTTATCCTAACACACAAACACACACACACACATACACACACACACACACACAAACACACACACATATATATCAGCTGATTTTAGAAATATTAAATTCTCAATATAGAAGTATTAGATTTTAGTATTAGATCTTTTTTCATACAATACAGATCCTAGATACCTTTCTGATGCACAAGTTGTGATTTATTTTATTTTTATTTTATTCATATTTATTTTTAGTCAAACTATTATTCAGTTGGAATAAAACCATGTTGCTCAGGGCCGCTGCTGGCCAAATGGGTGCCCTAAGCAAAATTGTATTGTTGTGCCCCCTACCCCAAATATTATGGAAGTTAAAAAAAACAAAAAACACCTACTATAGGGGTCAAAATAAAACTTTAATAAAATATAAAAGTAAATAAATAAATCAATTGTAATTAAACTGTATTATTTACAAAGTACAATTGTAGTTCTATAGCAAAAACAAATACAAACTAAAATTACACATATTAAATAAAACATTTTAAAAGATAAAATTTTATCAAAATAAACATTAATAAATTAAATCAAAACCGCTTCATTCTCATTTGTAACAAATTGCAGTACTATGCACTTCTAAATAAACAGTTATTGGCTGTGGCTCTTCTAACCCAGAGCAGACTGGCACCGGGTCCCCTGGGGCACCATCAGTCACTCCCAGCAACCCTGAGACCGAAGAGGACAAAGCCAAGAAGCTGCTTTACTGCTCACTGTGCAAAGTGGCCGTCAATTCGCTCTCCCAGCTGGAGGCCCACAATAAAGGTGAACATTCATTTAGCGACAGCTCGTATAAACTCAATAACTTACTGTGCTGACTGATTACACAAAACATCCGTCACTGGAATAAAGAGTCTCCAATGAGTGCTTAGAGGTGGATAGATTATACATAATAACAAATGCTCCCTGTGTATTTTCTTGTTTGAGGGACTCACTAGTCTGTACCTGTGACTTTGTACTGCTATTATTTTAAAACTCTTAAAAGCCATTTTAAGACTCCACAACACAACATCATGTGTAGCAATAATATGCTGATGCAATCACTTTTCATTACAGAAAAACAGAAAAAGCAAATGCAAACATTTGCCAATGGCAGGTGCATTTAGGAAATTAACTAACCATAAATATTTTTTGCCAGCTATGATGACACTGTTATCAATTATAAAAAAAAAATAAAAAAAAATCATAACATTTATCCTAACACACAAACACACACACACACATACACACACACACACACACAAACACACACACATATATATCAGCTGATTTTAGAAATATTAAATTCTCAATATAGAAGTATTAGATTTTAGTATTAGATCTTTTTTCATACAATACAGATCCTAGATACCTTTCTGATGCACAAGTTGTGATTTATTTTATTTTTATTTTATTCATATTTATTTTTAGTCAAACTATTATTCAGTTGGAATAAAACCATGTTGCTCAGGGCCGCTGCTGGCCAAATGGGTGCCCTAAGCAAAATTGTATTGTTGTGCCCCCTACCCCAAATATTATGGAAGTTAAAAAAAACAAAAAACACCTACTATAGGGGTCAAAATAAAACTTTAATAAAATATAAAAGTAAATAAATCAATCAATTGTAATTAAACTGTATTATTTACAAAGTACAATTGTAGTTCTATAGCAAAAACAAATACAAACTAAAATTACACATATTAAATAAAACATTTTAAAAGATAAAATTTTATCAAAATAAACATTAATAAATTAAATCAAAACCGCTTCATTCTCATTTGTAACAAATTGCAGTACTATGCACTTCTAAATAAACAGTTATTAGTTAAAAAAACATAAGTAAATTAAGAGCAGTCAGTGTAATAAAACACAGTTTTTAAAAAAACAGTTACCTCATGGCTATGATTTTATTAATACAGTTTTCTGATTGATTTTATAGTCTCAAGCATTCAGAAATCACACAAAAGAAAATTAAGCAGTTTTACTACGATAAAACCATGTACATTTTTGTAAGGGTTGTGACGTCCATATGTTTTTGTTGAAGAAATTATAGAGGCTGTAGCAATTCTATCGCAAAAAGGTGGCCAAAAATGAAAGATCAAGTGGATATTTGAATTAAATGCAATAATGTCAATAATAAACAAGGATTTGATCGTTCTGTAAGTGAAACAACAACAATTGCCAGGCCTTTGGCACCCTTTGCAGGCATTTGTAAATAGTATATTTATTTTGTATTACATTATGTATTTTAACAGTGTTATTTAACGAAACCATATGATTATTATTAATTAACCAATCATTATTGCCTCATTGTTTTTATATAACGCGTTTTAAGTCATGTTAAAAGCTGTTGTTCACTTAGGTCTGCTTTATTACCGCAAAAAATATTAGGCTATCTGAGTACTTCTTTGTTAATTATTATTTTATATGGTTAATTTGTGGTTACCATGGCTACAAGAACCATGATTTTTTTTTTCGTAGTAAAACCACGGTTAATTTTCATAAGGGAACATGGAAACTCAGAGAGAATATTAAGGCAGATGCGTTGGTGGTGGTGAAATTATTACAGACATCAAAACACGTTATTAACGTCAACAGACAAAAAAAGTTTCAGAGGATTATGAACGTACATGAAAATGATACACGGGCTTCATCTTGGGCTTTTTAACTTTTTTTTTGAGCAACTGGGATGGTGGCCCCTCCGGGAGTTGGTGGAGTTACTGATGTTGCTGTTTCTAATAAAGTTGCAGACAAACTAGGAAATAATATACTTCACAGGATTTTTATCATCCTTATTTTTTACTTTAATTTTGCACATGCAAATGTTACATTTTAAATGTTGTCTTTCTCAGTACTTGCTCAAATTACTTCATAAGACATAATTATTTTAAGAACAGTCTGCAAGATTTATCTTGTTCTGTGAGCAGCAGAAATATGCTTTGCGTGGCTCAAGGCAGTTCACAGAGGAACACTAGCAATTACATCCATCGCTGAAAACCCCTTTAAACTTCTCAAACAGGCATCTTTAGAAGCTTTCACTCTCATGATTTATACACAGCTTTACAGTGGCTCTTGCCCTCTCGGTTTGCACCAAAGGTGTGCACAAAAACGAACAGTTTATCAGTTTTTGTACTGCAGTGCAGCAAGTAGTATTTCGGGGAGTGTTTGATTTCTCGTGGTATATCGAATGCCTGAGCATATCTCGTTCTGCTCTATTATTTAGTTTGTGTCAACACAAACAATCCTGTTTGAAGAGATGAAGGTGGATGTTGAGGAGATTCTTCTGCAAAGGCACACACAACTCTATTTATTATAGATCTCCTCTTTTATTTATCAGGGAAAACTGCAGTCATAGTTGCAGTGTTTATTCGGTCTGATTAGGAATTTCTCGTGTTGAGCTTGTTGATTAAATGGTCTGTTTTTCCCCAGGCCAAAAGAAATGAATGCCTTTACATGAAGTATTTGACAACTGTTTATGTGGTCTGAAAATTAAAAGGCGCACATTCACGCTTTGATACATGGAAGACACATTAAAGTCGTTCCTCTTGGAACACAACCATGTTTTAAAGTAAACATTACAAGTTATGAGTGATATCAGGGCATCGTTGCCAATGGAGGGGCAAATTTTAATCAGTCTGGGTTTATGAAAGCTATCTGGAATCAGTACAGTCCATTCCCTAAATTAATTATCTAAACCACAGTCAAAAAAATCTAATCATATGTTATGCAGACAACCACAGATATAAGTTGGGAGGGTTAGGGAGAGATTAAGCTTACTTTATTTCTGCAGTTGTATGTCCAGACACAGCTGTCAATTCCTGTTTATCTGTGTATTTCTCAGATGGCATTTACAAGTGACTGTTACACAGTGAAACTAGAAACGCTCATTGTCTGGAACCAATTTTAAGTCTAAATATTGCAAGAGTGCATTTTTGAAGAGTACAAAGGCCATTCATGCTTGTTTATTAAACCTAAACTTAAGGTGAACCTTTGGTCTAATGAGAAAATGAAGGCTGCTTTTGGTTTGGCAAGAGAATGTGTCGACATTCCCGATGTTAAGAACAAATCAAATACATAGTTCTATGAACCCAAGCATGTGGACGTCACGTGTTTTTTGTCCATATCTTAGCTGTGTTTTCATTGACATTGTGAGGCCAGGAACATGACGGCGAAACATTTAAGGAGAACCATGTGTTGCACAGCTCCAAACACAGGAAACGGATAAATGATGAGCTTTGTTGTAATGAGGACAGGCAAATTTAAATTTAAGTTTTGCAACAACGTTTTAAAATTGAAAGCCAGGCAGTATACTACTTGATTTATGAATAGTACTGTACAGTAATATAACCTGAATGAAATTCAAAAAGGATATGATTCACAAGTGCAAAGCATTCCAACAAAAGAATGGTGTGACTGCCTATTAGACATGTGGACACTGGACAGAAAAAAGAATCATCCCTGGCATGAGCAGCTGTATTCGAGGGTAATTCAAAGTGGAAGATTCAAGAGCCCTCTAGTGGTCATGACCGGATATTACAATACTGCCTGTAGTTTATATTAAAGTAAATGTTATCTATTTATTTGAATGGTGTGACTGCCTATTAGACATGTGGACACTGGACAGAAAAAAGAATCATCCCTGGCATGAGCAGCTGTATTCGAGGGTAATTCAAAGTGGAAGATTCAAGAGCCCTCTAGTGGTCATGACCGGATATTACAATACTGCCTGTAGTTTATATTAAAGTAAATGTTATCTATTTATTTTTATCATAATACAATATTCTTATATTTTTTTATTATTGTTGTTACTATTATTATTATTACTTATTTATTGTGTTAAATATTTTTTATTTAATTTGGGGTTATTTGATTTTTTTAAAGAAATTAATACTTTTAACTCAGCAAGGGCACATTACATCATCAAAAAAGACATTTATAATAATAAAATAAAGAAGATTTCTGTTTAAAAAAAATGCTGTTCTTTTGAACTTTCTGTTTATCAAAGAAACCTGAAAAATTTATAAAAATTTACACAAAATATATATGTTTTTAACATTTTCATTGATGATAAATGTTTCTTGAGCACCAAATCTGCATATTAGAATGATTTTTGAAAGATTTTGTGACACTGACAATGTATTCAGAAAGAAAATAATTATTTTAAATTGCAATAATATTTCAAAATGTTACTGTATTTTTGATTTAAAAATGTAGCTTTTTGGTAAGAGACTTAAAAAAAAAAAAAAAGTAAAAAATCTTACTGACCTTAGACTTTTGAACCGTAGTTTATATGCATGTATGTATGTGCATACATACAATATATTTTATTTAAAATAACACAACATTTTTAAAACCACACTTGTATTTCTCTGCACTCCTCAGGCACTAAACACAAAACCATTCTGGAAGCCCGCAGCGGACTGGGCCCCATTAAGGCATACCCTCGTTTGGGTCCGATGCCCAGCGGGGAGCAGGGAGGCGGGGCCACAGACCCCAATACTCAGGAACGCACCTTCCACTGTGAGATCTGCAACGTGCGGGTCAACTCAGAACTGCAGCTTAAACAGGTGAGCATGGTGTTCATCATTTTTTTCTTTTAAATGCTCGTCATGTTGTTTTTACGTATATATTGTTACTGAGCGACAAATACTAAATCAAATTTGTTTCAAAATTGGTATGTTTGATATGTTTGCAGCACATATCAAGTCGAAGGCATCGGGACGGTGTGGCAGGAAAGCCAAACCCCCTCCTGAGCCGACACAAGAAGCTCAGGGGAGCTGACCTTGCGGTAAGTGGTAAACAATTACGGTATTAGTTGCAATTGAAATGTTGTTGCATACACTGAAAGTTATCTTTGATAATCGGATGTCAGATTACAGTATGATATTGTTGGGGCATAAAGTTTTTCTCTTCATACAGGATCTCACCAAAGCGTTAGGCGCCGGCCTCTTGCCGAGTCCTCTGGCCGTTGCTGCAGCAATGGCAGCAGCCGCCTCCTCCAATCCGCTGGCTCTCCGCGCAGCAGCCCCCACCCACCATCCACATCATCACCTCCTGCAGGGTCCGCCCCTCAGCCACGCCATCTTGAGACCAGCTCCGGGGCCCATACGCACCTCACATGGGTCTATTCTGTTCTCACCGTACTGACCCCCCCCCCAGCCAATCACAGCCAGTCTGGAGCCTCACCTCCAAAAGCACACTGTGAAGACGAAAAAATTGTGAAACACCACAGCAATGACAAGAATCGGCCCATCAACAATAACGTCAATCATTAAATCGAGCAGAAGGGGGCGCATCCATGAAGGAGGGTGCGACTGGCGTTCCAACCTTCTTTCCATCTCCTTTAACTGCCTCCTCCATCTCTGTTTGTTCGGATCGAGTGATTTATGAAAGGTCAAATGCAGGGATTGTTGGAATAGAGCAATACTGTAAGCTGAGTGCATCTGACGTCCTTGTACTTTCCCTCTATTTATACTCATACTGTGAGGTAGCAGCAGTCACATGGTAGCCAGACATGCTGGAATGAGTTAGGCAACTTTCTAGACACCCAAAACACACAAACCAACACACAAAGACTACAGTTAAATGTTGTTTTGGAAAAAAAAGCACCCTTAACCCTATGCACTTTGAGAAACCATCAGTATGCTTCTCAAAGTATTCGCTGTATTCAACTTGTCCTGTCTGGCTTTGGCATCTTTGCAAGAGGAAATCGCCTCAATCTCCATTGCAATTCCACCACGTCAAGACTCAGAGCAGGGGATTGTGGAGAAGGTCTAAGGATGCCCGACACTTTCCGAATGCTGGCTCGAATTGAGAAGCTTAGACGGCAGCGGCGAAAAGCCCGACTTCATACAATCGAATTTCTCTAGGGAAACGGAGGGATTCAGAAGAGATACTCAAGATTTCTTTTGTGTCACTTTTACATCCGTTAGCGCTAGGAGCGGTTGACTGAAAAACCCCAGACCCCTGTCTTAGATCTTAGAAAACCAGTAGATGTCTATTTATTCTATTGTGTAGCGTAGTTTAGTTCAGATCATCCAAGCTGGTTGACTTTAGAAAATATTCAGAAGTGAAATATGTACGTAGAGGATTATGTAACTGCTGATAGATCCTGAAATGACATGGACGGGTACTTTGATTCTCAGAGAAAGGCAACAAACCTAAGCACACTCTTGGACTTACAGTACATACAGGCTCCTCTCTTCATTCTGTCTCTGTATGTTCGGTGGACATTATGCAACCCCAAGCAATACGGCCCCCCTTCTGTCCGACTTCCGCGTTCAGTCTCACGAGACAGCCTGCATCAAGCAAGGACAGACACCACAGGTCAGCCACTCCAGCGGACGCCCAAGAGTCTACAAAAATGAACAGAGAGAAGACGCAGAAGTCACAGAGGACACGACTGTGCAATCTCCCCTTTTTTTGGTATGAACTTTCTGTCTTGAATCTAAAGCCATGCAATGCATATAATTTTTTGTTCTTTTATTATGATCAATGAATTGTTTTGATGTTGTTGGTTTAAATTTTTTTTGGGTTTGTTTTCATAGCACACTGTTACGTTGAACAAATATTGTGGAAGTTCTGACAAAAAAAAAAAAAAACATTGAACAAAAGAAAAAAAACTGGAATATTTTTCTATGGAAGATTGAAAACCTGCACTCGGGTGGGATCTATGTGTTGTAGAAATCATATCTGGAGGATGTAAAGTACACATAATCATAGACATCAAACTAGGGCCTGTCGTGTTTATGGAGATACGTGACGGTCCACTGATAAGCAAAGTGCGACAATGTCTTACCATTGTTTGGATATTGCAATGCAATAAGCAATTGTCATTTAGAGAATTTATAAATGGATCTGTACGGCTGCTAATAGGCCTCCATGTTCTTCCACAGAGATTAATTAGCCTTTTCAGTACAAAAGCTGGGCGTTTTAAGCAAGAAAGGGGCACCCACGGGGACGGGCCCTTCATATTAAAGGGTCTTTTCTCATCTCTGAGTGTGGGACAGAGTATATCTGAACGCAAACAATGTGTAGTCAGCCATAGCGTAGGGTGACCGTACGTGCCATTTTCCCAGGATGCATCCTGGCCAGGATTTCTATATTGCCTAAAATATCTAGGTTTTGGCTTTGTTTGCATGTGCAGACCGATCGGTGTATGACATCAAAGTACCATACAGACGGTTGGGGTTGCCGGGGGGGGGGGGGAATCAATGTCTATAAATCAATAAAGAATATTAAAACTCATGTCTCATGCTTATTTTTTCATAGCTATATTTTATGAAATGTTCTAATTAGTTAAAAAAGGTGTACCATTCAAATTATTTAAAACATTAAAACAAACTAAAATAATAATAAATTTAAAAAACTCTTGTTTTTTTTACAGAAAGAAACTGCCAGCTGTGGTTGCCAGAATAAATATGTAAAAATACAGTAAAAATGTAAACATATTTACAGAATGACCTGTAATTTTTTAAGCTAAAAAAGACCAACAACATTTAAAACCGTAAATCCAACAGCGCTTTTCTGCTTCATTCAGTTTTGTATCCTTTAACCAACATCATAACACAGGTGGTAAAAAGAAATACAAAACACCATCATGGTAAAACACATGACAAAAATAATGCACTAAACATTAATTAAATAACAATAATTTTTAATTTTATGTTTCTGTAATGGTTAATCCACACCAGATTGTGTAAACTCTTTAGTCACAGTAGTGTTTCTAATGCTAAAGTATAACTCGGATTTAATGGATTCAAAGATATATTGCACAAAAGTTTCATCAAAAGCGAGTCATTGGGAACAACTAGAAATTATCTGGAAGTCAATAACAACAGAGACTGTGGAAAAGTACCTAAAAAAAATGCAAGCTGTTATCAAGGCCAAAGGAGGCCATACAAAATAAAAATAAAATACGTTTTATGATTATTGTGTGTGTGTGTGAATAAAGGGATTAAACTGAACTGATTAAAAAAAACTATTAAGAAACAATTATTTCAACAACATCAATTGTGAAGTGTCACACAGGGAATTCTGGGAATGTAAATTTATGCTTTTTCACTGTCAATTATAATTTTAGTTTTTCCCTGTATATAGTAAGGAAACGTTCCGTTTTTACCACAGGATTTAAAAAGTAAATCTCGTTTCTGTTCGTTATTTCAACCGTACATTACACAGAAAGTGAAGAATAGTTTAAGCAGCTTTACATCCCAGCTCAAAAATGTGGAAAATCAATTTCGGTCACTAGACGGCGCTGTAGGACTGATATGCTCACAGTGCATCAGGCGCACTCAAGCAGGCGGACTAGTCCGCTGTGGATTTTATACACTGTCTGCTGCAAAATATTAAAACAATTATTGAGTTAATAGATAATAAACAGGCTGAATTAACACCTTCTGTGATGTATTCATGTTTTAGTTGTAAACTTAGTGCACTTTTAAAATTTTAATGTTGATCTCTTTAATATGCCTATATCCATCATATCACACAAAATATGGGGACATGATGTGTCTGTCTGAACTTATGTTTACCCGTCCTCATCTGTTGGGGACATGATGTGTCTGTCTGAACTTATGTTTACCCATCCTCATCTGTTGCTTTGTGAACACATTTCAGTCCATAGTCTGTCGATATCGCCTGTCAGCACATTACCACTTGACCTTGTGGAATAATGTTTTTATTAGACACATCATTCAAAATTATTCAATCAAGTAGTTCACACAGCTTTGTGGAATTTCCCGATCCATATTACATTTGTATTTTCAAGGAAGCACATTAATACTGGGTGTAATGTTTATATGATGATAAACATTTAGGCACTTTCAGGATTTTATTTCTATAATTTTTATGGTGATTATTATTTGTGTTAAATGTAAATGTTGTGTTAAGAGCTACATCATGTGTTGAAACAGACCTACAATGAGTGTCATCAGCTACACACCAATGATTATGGTTTTTATTAATGCCTATCAATAAAAGAAATTCCGATATCAAAATGTAAGAACTTTTAATATAGTGTCACTAGTCATTATTTAATAATTAACCATGCAACTGATATTGAGTAGGACTGATTACAGAGAGCTCTCTCCGGATGTTGGCATGTACATTTATACGATCATATGTTAATGAATTAACATCAGCAATTCAATGGTTTTGGAACAAGACTTTTTTTTTTTGCAGCTTATAGTCGCAAAAAATGGTCTTTTTGAACTGAGCAGGAACCTTTCAGTTCAGTTTTCTGTAGTCTCTTTTATCTCTAAGTATCAAGGAAATTTCTGTTTTTCATAATATCCACCCTTTTAAAGTTGAACCAGTCTGTTCCCAACATTTCAGAACAGTATCATCCAAAATCAAGGAACATGAGCAGTTCTTCACTGAAATCTGTACACATACTGGGGTAGAGAGGATGGGTGCAGAGGAGACAGGAAAGCTGTGGCAGACACACATTTCTCATAAGGACACGGTGTCAGAGTTTGAAAGGTTCACGCGTTGCGCTCTGCAAATGGAGAACTCCATTAGCTGAAATATGTGCCTGTGCTTTTACCAAAGATTTTAGCACTAACCTAACAAGTCTGTGGGGATAATTACACAGCAAACTAACACATACATCCAACAACAGCAAATCGTGAAAGGTGAAAGACATGCAGAGAAGACAGAAAAAAAAGTGAGTAGGGTGATTAATGCACTTTTACATACTTGACACCTACAAAATATTCTAATGCTGACAAAACAAAACACAGCAGTGACAGCGCTGAAGTTGACGAGTTCTTTGTGTACACTTTGAGATTATTGGCGAATTAAAATCCTTCCTTATGATAATGTCACAAGTAGGGGATTTAATTCTAGTTTCTGTTCTCAAATCTTTGCACGTTCAGTAATTACAAGGAAATTGAGCCCTCATAGTGTGCCACTGTAAAAAGCTGAAATCCACTGTTTGACCCTCAGTTAACAGTAAAACCCACTGCTTTACCACAATATATACTGTATGTATATACGATCGAAAGTTTGGAATTACTTTTTTATTATTTAATGTTTTTCAAAGAAGTCTCTTATATGCTCACCAAGGCTGCATTTATCTGAGAAAATACAGTAAAAACAGAAATATTGTGAAATGTTATTACAATTTAAAATAACTTTTTTTTTTCTTCATATTTTAAAATCTAAATTATTTCTGTGATGGCAAAGCTGAATTTTCAGCAGTCATTACTCCAGTCTTCAGTGTCACATGATCCTTCAGAAATCATTCTAACATGTGCTGCCCAAGAAACATTTCTTATTATTATCATTATCTTCAATGTTGAAAAAAGTTTTTGCTGCTTAATATTTTTGTTGAAACCATGATATACACAGTTTGGGGTAAGATTAAAAAAATAATAATACTTTAATTCAGCAAGAATGCATTAAAGACAGTGGAGACAAAAGATTTCTATTGAAAAAATTTTGTCCATTTGAACTTTCCATTAATTAAAAAATCCTGAAAAAAATGGATCAGAGATTCCACAAAAAAAAAAAAAAATTCAGCATTGAAAATAAAAAGAACCATTGTTAATAATTAAGCACCAATAATAATTGAGTACCAAATCAGCAAAATGATTTTTAAAGGATCATGTGACACTAAAGACTGGAGTAATGGCTGCAAAAAAAAAAAAAAATCAGTTTTGCCATCACAGGAATACATCACATTTTAAAATATATTCGAATAGAAAACGGTTATTTTTATTTTGTGTGCAAATGCTTCTTGTTTTATTTGTGCAGTTCACTATGTTCTAATACTAATGTGCTTAATACAAACATATTGATTTTCCCACCCCTTTACCCACACCTCTTCATCATTCCCATAGAGATGTGCCTCTCTTTGCCATGATGCTCTGGTTGCACGCATCTGTGTGAGAGAGCCTGGCTTTATGAACCCCGTCCGCATCCCAGCAGTGGCATCATACATGTAGAGTGAAAGCTGGAGGCTACACTTCTCTGGAGCTTTCAACCTCTCTGTGTGACACCCATCTCAGAGAGAGAGCAACAATACTGAGATAACTCGCGTCCCTGAGGGGTTGGGAGTGTTCTGATGGCTGTTTGAAAGGACATTTGACAGCTTTTCTTTCCCCAGTCACGATTATTTAGGACTCTACCTCAAACAACAATTCAGATCAGGTGTGTATCTTGCAATCTGACTTCAAAGGAA